TGTGCAACGGTATGGCCAATTTGGTGAGCAACTGGGAAGAGATGCACAGAGATGTTGGGCTGAACTCCCAGCCAAAGTATGAGGGATCTTTGATCTTTCCTCAAACGGGTCAGCACAAAAGCTGCCGTTCATTCTCCCTGCATTCCTCTTGTCCACGTGTCTGTCCTGCCTGGCGACGGGTAAATTTAAGGATGCCTCAGGTTTGCTTTCCTTTGCGGTCTGATGCTCGGGGAGCTTTGGAAGCAGACACCGACAGTGATGCTGCACACTCACCCACACGCCCCGAGCTGTCTGCAACGGAGGGGCTGGGAGCAACCCCGGGCAGGGCTTTGCTCTTTCTAGGCCCACTGCAAGGACACTTGAGATTGCCCAACCCACGGGAGGGGTCTTAGGGCAGGGGTATTTAAAATGATGGAGCAGTGCAGCAAAATGACTAGGCAAGGGCTGCTCCAGCGTGGGCGAAGGATCTAGTCTTGCCTCCAGTTTCATTGAAGTTGGTCCTTTCGTGCCAGGCAACTGTGCCTGCCTGCACCCTGCCGCCTTTGTTACAGCCTCTGCTGCCTTCACTGAGTGGTAACGCAGATGCCAAACAAATGAGTCCTCCCAGCCCTCTGCAGGGTTTGGTTTTTGTTTTTTTTCCTTGAGTTTCTACCAGCCTCTGCTGAAGCATGTGGCAGCACGTTGTGTTAGTGAACTGACAGGAAATAAGCTGTCTTTTTCCATGCTCTTGGCTGGGAAACTCCACAGCTTTTGAGCTGTATAGGTGATAATCTAGGGACAGCTCATTAGGCAGGACATGTAATCAGATGTTACCTGTTTGCAACTAATCATCCAAAGGGTTCACTCTGACATGATATATAAAGCATTGATCCTAACCCTTCAGGCAGCCTAAATAGCACCAACCTCTTTCTTACGGTGTTTTCTAGAAATCATTTTTTTATTTTTAGTTCTCTCTGCTTATATTTACCTCTACCTGCATCTTTTTTCAAATCAAATTAAGAAATCCTTTGGCTGATAAACTGTACTTCACAAAGTGACGTTCTACTGGCTGAGAGACAGCAGCTCTGTCAGTACAGTCTGCAGAGCACACACTTTGGACAATGAGAGTATATGCAGAGGAATTTTCATACCAGGAGCTATGGGATTTAATTTATTTCAGTGCCAAATTACCATCAGTACTTTTATCAACACGATTGTATGTCATGATACCTGCAATAGCACCAGCTAGGCTTTGTAACCCAAGTCTCTTGCAGTCCTTTGTTCCTAGCTGGAAAAGATTGTAGTCATCAAAACAAAAGGGAACCATTTTCTCTCCTGGGAACAGATCACTAAGTTCCCATAAGGCAAAACAAAATTATGCAACGAGGCAAGACAGTGTCCTGGGCATGTGGAGTCTTGTTGTGTGCTCTCAGCACTCACATTCCAGCATGCAGCCTCGGTGCAGGAGAGCAGCACAAAATGGTGGAAGGCTTCACACCAGCGCATGCAAAACTCCCCAGCTGTGCTACAGGAAAAACTGCGATGAGCCCTCCCCACCCCTGTCCCAGCAGCAGGGCCTCCACTTCTTGAAGGCTCTTTGTGACCCAGAGAGAGAACCTGTGCCATCACCAGATATTAGCCAAGATGATTCAAGAAATACCATTGAGGGAAAAAGCTATTTATTTACATGGTATGCATAACAGAGCATGGCAAAATGGAGAATGCAACAGAACTATTTTACAAATGCCACACCGACTGTGGCTGCCAAAGACATCTTTCTAGTAGGTCTAGCTAAGGGACAAATGCTGGGGGACAGATCCAGTATAATTTTTTTTGATGAGCCAGACCTCAACCTCTGCAACAGACAAGTTATCTTAGAGCGAGAGGCTGAAGTTTGTCTGAAGCATTTACAAAAGGAAGGATTGAGTCTATTCTTCTAGGCACAAAGATAGGCAAACAGGATTCCTCTACCTTATTACATAAAAATATACCCTTTCATTGGAAGAGAACAGTCTTAACGGTTCTGGCCACTCCTCTAGTTCTTCCCATCCATCTCCATACTTCTGCTGTACTGCCTGTATCCTCTTCTTGCTTACAACAGTTAAATGAAACCATCTATTGCCTGGGCACCCTTACGTACAGAAGTACAAAGTTATGCTACGCTCCTGCAAATCTGTATGTATATATATACATGCAATACCACCGATGGGTTACTTACAGGTGTGAGTAGATTCAGAGCAAGCTCTAGTCTTACAGTGGAGTATGAATTGCTGTATTATTCTGCAGTATCAATTTTTAGACTGATTCTTGACCAGTGTTTTTCCACGTGAGAAATTCTTTTTTCCAAACCAATAGAAAAATGTTCCAGAAAAGTGAACAGCTTAAATCCTTCTGGGCCTTAGCATTACTATAATGAGGAGTCTATTGTCTCCTATTAATACTGCTTCAATCCTCTTAAAAGAAGAATCCTATCTGGATGCCAGGCTGGCTCAGGCACATTTATAACTACAGGTCATCCCTCTCCAGCTGACACAGATAATGGCTGGATTCAGAACACCGGGTATGACATAGATAAAAGCTGGTGGCTCCAGTAAAAAAATGGAAAGAACAGCAGGTTGCCTGTGGAGAGGAGAAGGGTGGCTTGATCTCTAGCAGTATGTGGCTGTGAGCTGTCTGCTACCAGGCTGTGGTGAGCAGCTGCAGAACAGAAAGAAGCTAGAGATGGAGCTGCCTGTTGTATCTGTAATAAAAGCAGTAAACAATGTTCAGAAGTAAGGGTAAGCAGGAGAAGTATTCCAATGGAAAAAGGCACAAAAGGGGGAAGGGGAATAAGGAGAACTCAATACTTTGAAAAAATAGAGAAATAGAATGTTAAAATGTTCCTGTTCTTTTTAACTGAGAGTTTTAAGAATAAATTGTAAAAATGAAATATGCACATTTTTATCTATGTGCATTTACTAGTTCTCACAATCATTTTGTACAGTGTAAAGCCTATAGTAGGCTTTCAATTAACTTTACGCATTAGCAGGTTTCTTAATGTGAGTGTTGTTAGTTGTATGTGTTCATTTTGTCAGGATTTGCTCTCTGTAATTGTTGTTTGGCAATATGCCCTATTTCACTGAAACGTTGAGTATCCCCCACAAGCAGGTAGTATACGCCTGGGTTGAAAAACTAATGTTAGGGAAGTTCACTTGCAATCTATTTGTTTGTGGGTTTTTTTAGAAAAACTACAGTAAAGTGAGTGGGGATGTATGTCGTGTATAAAGGGAACCTTGGCTCCTAAATTCTTTGACATGAAGGTATTAATGTGCAGAAGGACCCGGAGCCTCTGGAGTCCCCTCCTAAATAGGGCACAGCTTAGAACATCTGAAGGTCTCTGACTTATAGATGGGAATCTCCTAATGATCTTAGTTATTTTTATACGTGCCTGATACTACCTGTTACACAGCCCTAACGCAGAGAAGCAACTCTACGACCATCAAGTGAGCACACCAAAGCTGTGGCAGTGAAAACTGTAGGAGAGAAAGAGGAAGAAAAAAGTAAAACACAAAAAGAAGGTGAAATATCAAGACACAATATTAACATCAAATAAAGGCACAAGACAGCGAGAAGAAAAAGAACAAAGAAAAAGCAACGAAAGGTGATAAAAGGACAATACAAGCAAAGGACTTTGGCAGGGTTTTCCTTTTGTTCCTTCTTTTTTAAATCTTGCTTTACGGAGCAAAATGGGACAGCAGTTCACCAACAACAAAGGGGAGCAAGGAGAGATAGATGTTGCTGAATTGCAGGAATGGTATAAGAAATTTGTGGTTGAATGTCCCAGTGGGACCCTCTTCATGCATGAATTCAAGCAGTTCTTCGGGGTCCAGGATAACCATGAAGCAGCAGAGTATATTGAAAACATGTTCAGAGCTTTTGATAAGAATGGGGTAAGTAGTGAGGAATTTTTACAATTATTTGTCTAATAATTTGCACCTCTTCCTCCTGTAATTTGGAGGTGTTCTGGTGCAGTTCCCACCCTTGTTCCCATGCTTCATGAGACAAAGGCGAGGGCAATGGACCTGCTAGGGCAGGAGAAGGAGCTCACGCTGCACCACCCTGTATGGGCTGGTATGGATTTATCCTCTCATAAATCTGTACACAAATTAAGGACAGAATGTCTCCTTAAGGGACTGAGGATGGATTAAAAGGTTGAAATTTAGGCAGCCGCATTTTGAGACAGTGTTGTTGAAAGATCCTCAAATAGCCAAGGTTGCTACATGGAAAAAAAAATATTTATCTGCTATGATAGAGGGGTAATTATAGTAAAGTCCTACTCAGGCTTGCTATACATTGGAGGAAGTGTATATATACAGTATGAACAGGTGGCATGTAACAAAATATTGATTTTAGCTGCTCAGAAGCTAAGGAATGCTGAGCAATTCAGACATTCTGGTTTTGATTCCCTTTGCTGTACTTGTCATCAGACACCTGGGAAAAGTGGGCTTTCTGGTTTAGTAGCAGTTCATGCATACCCATGCATTGGTGCAAAGGATAGCCTAATACTAGCCTGAGATATTTTAGATAGTCAAAAGAAATGTAATACGGTTGCCGTTCTCATCTTGAAATGGGTAAGCAAGGCTTGCCAAACAGTTCAGGTTTTTTTCCTGAAGCTCTCGATCATATTCCAAGTATGGGGTTGTTTGTTGCTGAATATCAATATAGGAAAAGGGGAGACAAGTACGCCATCTCTCAGGTATACCAATTTCCCTTAAGCTTCCTTTGAAACCAGTGGCAAAATCACATTGAGGTGGGAAGAAAAGTCGTGAGAAAGGATAAAAAAGCTACGGAAGATGTGGGCAGGTCAGACTTGTCTCAGAATTTGAAGTTGGGAAAACCCAAATTCCTGCAAAAAACTGAAGGACCAGGTCCAAATTCTGTTACGAAAGCTGCGCAGAAAGGGTTGCAGACCAAACGGTGTGCATAAAAGGCAAAGTCCCATTCCTAGTTTATAGGAATTTTCCTAATAAGACTGAAAATCTGTTTTTAAGGGATGCTGGTACTTGCATATATTAGGAACACTAAATTAGGCCTAGATTTGTGTGTTTGCTTCAATATGCCCATGGCATATAATCAGTTGAGCAGGACCTAACAATCTAAAGGATTATTAGTAATATGGTATGAAAATAAAAACAATTCCTCAATTGTCTTTTTATGCTTACTGGCCTTCAAAGTCCAGGAGTAGCAGGTTTTGCTCACAGTTACTGCAGAGCATTTCAGTGCCTGCAGCAGAGCGTGCGGGGACGAGATGCGTAGCCCAGATCTTCCAGGGGGGTTTGCTGTGCGGGTCAGGAAGGCTGTAGGGTGACATGGGGCCCCGGCTCAGCCCTGGGGATGGTGTTGATCTGCATGAGGGCCATCTGCTGGAGGCTGCCGAGGGAGCCCTGCATCCCTTCAATGTCTCTGAAGTTCTTAGGAGGATGAACACCTGATGTAAATCCTTTATTGTGGGTGTTCTTGCTGCCTCCTTCTGAACGGTGACTTTTTCATTGTCTGTCTTCCTCAGATGAATCAAGATCAAACAAGGGGGAAGGATGGAAGAAAGGGGTAGCGGTTGGGTGTTGGTCTCATTGGTGAAGCAGCTGAGATTGTGAAGAATGGCAATCCCTTCTCAAAAAGTCAATGCCTCCTGCACTGATCTTCATCTGCCTCCCCATCTTCCATGCAATCTGTGTGGTCTTGGGGTATTTAAATTGCTCATTTCTGGAGTCCTGGCAGGTGTCCCCCTTTATTGCACTATAGGAAAACTGCTTTGGTCTCCACTGTCACTCCTTGGGAACTTATCCTTGGTGCAGAGGGGTATGGCTGCACTTACTGATGGTCTTGGACTGGCACAAGTCTTCTATAAAGTGGAAAATAAATAGCTCTCCCATGGAGTATCTTCTTGGCAGTTTTTTATCTAGGTGTCATAAGCAGTTTTCTATCAACTATTCCCAGTTAAGTGTCATTCATCTGCTTTTCTGTTTCTACAGGATAATACCATTGATTTTCTGGAATATGTAGCTGCCTTGAATCTTGTTTTACGAGGAAAACTGGAACACAAGCTGAAGTGGACATTCAAAGTATATGACAAGGATGGGAATGGCTGCATAGATAAACCTGAGCTGCTGGAAATTGTTGAGGTAAGTAGGCATTGCCTAATCACTTATTTAAGCAATCCCAGTTCTTTGGCAATGTAATGATGTATATGGGTTTTGTGATACTCAGGTTTCAGGGCAGCTGTGGGCAGTGATGAAGTGAAAATGCCTGACCTTGCTGAAAGGGTCATGTGTGCAGTGGTTCGGTGGAGCCTGATGGGGTGGCTGAGGGATCAGTTAAACCCACTGCGGGCAGCCTGGCCCCTGCTGCTGCTGCTGTCCAGAAATGCAGCATCCGGGTGCTATTGTGGAGTTCCTGTATCTCTGCTCTGCCTTTCCTTTCAACCTTTTTACACCAGGATTCATTGCACTGGCCAGCGGAAGAGGGTTTCACCCCATGCCCCTTACAGGAGCCAAGTTTCCTGCCTGAGTAGCTGGTGAGAATACACTGAGAGGCACAAATTGGTACAGGAATCCCTTTTGTAATTATTCCTTTCTAGGTTTCTGATAGGTTCTGCACTTAGTTTTAATTAGTGACTGCGTGAAGGTGTGAGAGGAGGCATGGGGCTTAGCAGACAGTCAGACACAGCACCTGGGTTCTTACTTTAGGTCAATATCTTGGTGATTGTGCTAGAGTTGCCCCTGCACCACAGGTGCTGTTACCCTTGCACAGCAGTGCTTGTGAGGCTTAATCAATGGTTATCAAACATTTTAGGGTCTTAGGTCAAATGCAATATCAAGAAAACATCAGAAATTGAATCTGTGGAAAGCAGGTCCTTTTGGCTGGAAAGTGTGACCAGCTTGTGACCTGCAGCACCAGCAGCAGGTGTGAGAGCATCTGGGGAGCTTGTCTGGGGCAGGTTCAATTAGAGTTTTGAGGTCAGCCAGGAACTGGCCAGAGCTGTGTTAGGGCCTTGCTAATCCCCTCTCTGGGAAGACTTCAGACAAACCCCTTCAGCCTAAGGAGTAAAGTTAATAATGAACAATTGTCATGGGAGGAATAGATAAAATCTGTCCCTTTCCAGTGACAAAGTAGAACAGAAACTATAGGTCAAAATATGTGCTAATACAGGTTTGATCTTGCAGCTTGGGCACAAGTTCCCTGGGAGGGAGGGCTGGGTAAGTCCAGATGTGCCTGGCCTCAGATGTTTGGAAAAAATACTCAAAAGTCAGATGATTTTCCCATCTGTGAAACTCTTGCCTTGTTCTTTGCAAAGGAACCCTGAGATCTGACCAATATGTGTAAGGAAAATAGGAGGGCAGCAGCTTCAAAGAGCAAATGAAGTAATCCACAGTGTGTGTGAGCATAAGGTCAGAGGTTTCGTTGAAGTTCTGAGGCAGCTGAGTGGCAGATCTTTCTAGAAAGGTTAAAACCACAGCCTTTGTAAAAGACCTTTACACTGTTGGGAAGATAATGGAGTTCGCTGCTTTTCACTTTCCAGTCCTTCTCCTAATCTGTGAACTTCTTTCCAGTCTATCTACAAGCTGAAGAAAGTGTGTCGGTCGGAGGTGGAGGAGAGGACTCCATTGCTCACGCCGGAGGAGGTTGTGGACAGGATATTTCAGTTAGTGGATGAGAATGGGGATGGTAAGTGATCGATGGCTCAGATTGCATTCATGCATAATGAGAAGTTATCTGTGCTGGGCAGGCTGGCTTTAATTATGTCTATCAAGAAATCACTTAGGACTATTATGTTACTCATATTTGACACATTGGGTTTGGTTCTGGTCTGTTTGTTAGAATCAAGAGTAACTTCGTGCAGCAGGAGGAAATAATTTTCCTTGTTATTTTAATGTAAAATACAGAGGGGTCACTATTCTGTCTTGATATTGATGCCACACAGATCTCATCCTCTGAAAACCCCCAGTAGGCAGAGTGCAGGTCCCAGTCCCAGCACAAGTAGCCTGAGTAAAGACAGTGGCTCCAGTCAAATTGGAGCTTGCAGGATCAGACTTGTAATCCTCCTGGAGGAGCATGTGTAAGCTAATGCAACATTTTATGTCAGCCAACGGGATGGGGTAGGTGTGAATGCATTGGGTCACAGCGTGGTGGTTTGTCTTTCAGCTAGCTGGCCTAAACTACACGGGGAAATGAAGTATAGCTTTTGTCTTATTAGCATATTTTCTGAAACATGGATGGCTTTTACTTCTTGCCTTCCTCTTCTTATCTGTCATGTTTTGTCTCCCCATCTTGTGTCCTCCTCATCTCATACACAGGGCAGTTGTCTCTTGACGAGTTCATTGATGGGGCCAGGAAAGACAAGTGGGTGATGAAGATGTTGCAAATGGATGTAAACCCTGGGGGATGGATCTCTGAGCAGAGAAGAAAGAGTGCTTTGTTTTGAGAAAATTCAGTTTTGATACAGCTGAAAATGTGATGCTGACTCCAGCTGTGGCTCTTTTACTCCAGGGTGGTGGTGGCTTTCCTTTTTAATACAATCTCAGCATCCAGATGAAAACTTCAGTGGTTTAAGAAGCCGTATCTCAATCTAAAACCCATGTGCTGCATACCGCTGGTACCCAGAGACTATTTTTGGCCCATGAATAAGTCTTTCTGTGTACACAATACCGTGTTTGCCAGCTCTGATTTTTGACTACACCCCAAGGAACAAATTTTTCATGGCTTCCTGCAGCAGATCCTGGGCAGGGTTTTAGTCTGATGACAGATGGGAAGTGAGAAATCCTGATGCGGTGGTACCATCTCCAGTGCAGACTAGTGTTTGCATCATTCATGCCTGCAGAGATACAAACACATCAAACCAAAAGTGACAACAAAAGAGGTGCTCTGGCAGGCTTTATACATCCAGGATGTCCGTATGCATATTTAGTAGACTATACTACTGCTAATGTAAAATTATGGAACACCAACCTATTGCTATCAAAAGTGAGAATTGGGTTATAAGTGGTGGTCAAGACAGTACACAGAGTTGAGGAAAACAATGTGTGGGTTGGAGGGGTGGAGCAGTAACTCTTTGCATCTCCCTCCTGTGGACCAGAGCCTGCTCCTTCTACCTGTTCAGAGACCAGGGTTTCTGTGGGGCTGGAAAAATGCTATTTCCAAACACTAAGCAGCAGTAGAAATTGTACCTCTTCTTGACAGCCACATTTAGAGGACAGATTTCGACCAGTGTGATTCTGCTCCTTTTGAGCCCCTTTTTCTTACTGAATCATCGCTCTAGAACAGCTTTTCCTGCCTTGTGAAGACTGGCTGAGCTCAAGTTGCTCCAGGACTTTCACTGCCCTGGGAGAAGTTTTGTGTGGACGGAGAGATAAGGGAAGAGCAGAGTTTTGCTTGGCAGGGTCTCTGCAATGAGAGGATTAGCGCTGCTTTATTGGCAGGACCACAAAATGGAACAAGTGACAGAAAATCCGAGTGAGTTACTGAAGTAGTACAGTAACATTTGCACAGGCTGCAGGCTGAGCTCTGCTATTCTAACCCATATTCCTACACATATACGTGTATGTGGAAAGAGAATTTGCGTTGAACCAATATTTTGGTTCACCTTTATTGGATTTATTTATTAGTTTATTTGCAAGAAAAATTTCCTCAGGAAAATAACATGAGTTTTTGTCTTTTATTTTAATTTTCCCATGGGATCAGTGGGCCAAGTCACATCCATGAAAAGATTTGCAATCCCTTTTTTGTGGCCTTCAATTATGACTGTAGTACCTTTCACTAGATGATTAGTTTGCTGGTTTGTGGTCTTGTCGATTTAGCCAATGTTTCAATTCAGGAACATGAGGAAGTATTCAGGATAAGACACAGGCAGTGCTAGAGGTCAAATCCATATACATTTCCACTTCTAAATAGCTTTTCTAAGAGTTTTCTGCAAATACACACTCGCATGTGGCATGCTTACTTACCAGAACAGATTAGACTTCTAGTTTATGCTGCTGTAAGGCAGCTGTTGGAAGCTCATTCAAGTCAATAGTTTATCAGCCAAAGATCTGAAAGAAAAATCTTACTTCTGTCTTGAAGGCCTGGAAGAAAAGATTCACTTTACTCATTTTTCCAACTTGTGGACAAATGTTTTCATGGGAGGATACAGATCTCTAATTCCTTAAATTTCAGCATCTCAACCATCCCAACACACTGCTTCTTGCACAGTTTTTAAGTGGATGTTTACTTACTTTAGTTGCATACTGCAGTTTTACTTAAATGCTTTAAATTTTCTTATTCTGTTCACCTGGTCAGATCAGGCACTGAAGGAGCTGTTTGGTGTCCCCCACACCAGCAGTCCTCTACTGGGGTGGTAGAGGGCATCCTAACACCGAGCACTTGTACAGTTGTTGGTAGAAATTTTGTAACACAAATTTAATAAAGAATTATTTATTAAAATTCTGTTTTGTAGTATTTATTTTTCACTTGGAATGAAGCTGAAGACCTGTGTGAGCACCTGAGTATTGGACCAAAATTTTAGTCTTTAAGACTGATGTAATGAATTTAAGGGAGGTGTTAAGTGCAACAGCTGACCTGGGTAAGACAAATATAAGGCAGAGATGGCTATGCTATTGCAGATGCAGAGTAGGAAAGGAGTATCTTCTGTTTAACTTCTATGTAATAATGGTGGAAAGTGTGTGTATAATAAAAAAACATATTTTCTGAATGGACTTTGAAATAGTTGCTTACAATAAAGTGAGCTGACAGTGCTGCAATGAGATGGCCCCCGCCAAGACTGAAACAGGAGCCTTGAAGAATTTAGGGCTCAAAGTAAAGCGTTGGACTGGGCAGACCTAAGGTGGTAGCAGTGCACACGGCAGATAACACTTGTGTTAGTGCTGGCATAACCCTGTGGAAAATCGCTCCTCTTATCAATCGTGTAATCTTTTGTCAAGCAATCGCAAGGTGCTTTAGTCTTAGTCCTATTTTAAAATCCATAGGTATAAACACTTTGATCTCCTCCCAAACTCAGTTCAACATTCACATCGAGCTGTTGATATCAGACATTTTGCATAATCCATTTTTTCAGACTTATAGCCCAGCTAGAATTGGATTTGACTGATCGGATTTCTTTTTAGTCTAAATTGGGAAGCAGGTTGGCTTGGAAAAGGCAAATGCCATGTGATTTTTCTGAGCTTCTACCATCTGCTCTGATGTTTGATGCCTCTGAAGTTGGGTAGGATCGAAGGTGAAATAATCACGTTAGAAAGCTGAAGGTGAGGCTGTTGCTGAAGGTGGCTGGTGGGGGGAGGCACGAGGGAACAGGAGCCAATGGAGGCATCACATCCTAAAATACTCTGGAAGGTGCATTCCCAGGGAAAGCCCTGAGCAGTGAAATAATGAGGCTGAGTAGGAAAGAGGATAATTACATCTCTCTCTTTTTTTAGCCATGTTCTTTATTCGTCTGTGCACCTGATGTTCTGAGAGGGGAGGTTCACCCATGGGCAGCTGGGGTTTGGTGGCTGCCCAGAGGAAAGGCTTGTGTCCAGGTCATTGCCAAAGCCCCCGTGTGCAGCTCCCCTTGAACACGTCGTGTTGAAAAACAGAGTGGCCGTGCCAGCGCTGCCACAGCCCCGTGCTGATCGCTATAGGGACTTCTTGTGGTCTCACCATACTCCGTCATTTTCTCACAGTGCCCATGCTCAGCTCTGGCAGTATGGGAAAACACTTCTGTCTGTCTGTCTGTCTGTCTTTCTTTCTGTCTTTCTTTCGTCCTCCCTGTCTTCAAAGGGAAGTGCACCTCAGAAGTGTAGAAAGTATCTCAAACGTATTACCCTTAAAGACACCATATTTAAGGTAACCTAATGGTATTCTGGGATCTGATGCGTGATACGGGAACACCGGAGCTGTGCTGTAGGGCAGCCGCATCTCCTGGGGATAAGGGACCTGTAGAAGCATCTGGCTGAGAACCTGTTTTGTTTCATTTCTTTGCCTTTTAGGCCTCACACCCTAACGCACGGGGATGCAAAAGGAGGTATTTTTGCAATTTGCCATTGTCCGTTCCCGAGCTCCTCATCTCGCCTCTCTTCGATTTTGCTGTCTAGGAGCCCATCGGCTCAGTCCCCAGCGGGTTCCCGGGCTTCCCGGGCGCTGCTCCTCCGCGGGGCTCCCCCCGGGGACCCGCT